AATACACATTAAAATGATGTATAACATAACCATATTTATTAAGAATGTATTCCAATATCAAACAGCAAATTTCAACAAGACTAAAACCGCAATAACTTTTGCACCAAACATTAGCACCAGAATGGTCAATACATCAGTTAAAGTACCTATGTCCTAGGTTTTGTTTTTGTGTTAGATTTTATGCTTTCATGAACCTATGCAATTTCTAAAAGTATGCATAGAAACTAAACCTGTGATACAGTAAGTTTTTATTAGTTCTACTGAATTTGTCACGTGGATTGGGAAGGCAAGCTAAAGGCTTTACGCCCTTTATATGTTGAAGGATTTCAGAGTTGAGCAATGGTGTATTTAACTTGTTGCTGACTTTTCTTAAGTTTTGGCAACTTAAGGCATACTGGTAAGTTTGTGAAATATTTGTCATTCTTACTGCATAGACTTGTGATTGTGACTGTTTTGTTTAAATGAAACTGGTATCATCTATATCCTCACAGAAAATTTCCAATGAAGTTTTAGAGAACTAATCTAACTATTCGTGTTTAACCAGATAATCCACAGGCGGTTCCTTTTTGAAACAAAATGCTCTTCAATTATTAACCAAGTTACTTACTTTTGATTTCAAAAGCTATGTTTCTAATATGTACAGAAAAAATGTGTAATTTTCTGTGCCAGACTTTTGAGTTTTGTTTTCAAGCGCTGTCATGTGCAATGGATGGTTAGAAACAATACATTAGGGTTTCTATTTAACCCTTTCAGGACTGAATTGTATTTCCTTTTATTAATTTTTTTCCCTGTGTCATGACAGATGTTTGCAAGCATTCAGAACTGTTGGTACAGATCAGGTTTATATGCTCATTTTTAGCTTATTTTTTGCACATTGCAGCACACTCCACACCTTCAGTACTTAAGGGGTTTCTTTTACAAACTATGTGCTATAAGGTTTATTAGCAATATAAAATTGAGTAAACTTTGAGCAAATAGTGGGCAGTGCTAAAAACGACAAAAAAAATGAGTAAACACATATTGTAATTTTGTAGAAAAAAATTGCTCAGCTCTGTATTTTATCTATGAAAAATCTGCAATATGAAGTTTCGAGAAATGAAAAAAAAGCAAAGTGAAAATTTTAGGTTAAACATCAAAACAGTTCTGAGAGCAAGAATTACAGAATGGAATCAGCCTGAAGTACGGCGTCTTTACATTGTCTCTTCCAGGCCCAAGATTTTCTTGGGATCTATATATAATACTTCACAATCATCATCTTATTTCACTTTCGTTTCTACTGAATGTATTTTCCGTGTATGTTCCCCACTTAAAAATCAGGTTAATATAAAGTACTCGAATGACTATCACTAAGGCCATTACTATTTAAGAGGCACAAATAATTCTTTCATTGATCTGCTGGGTATACATAAAGCTATTTTCATTCCTGCTATCATTTTAGTATTTAATCCACATTTTTAACGGATTTCAGTTAAATTTTCATTGCTAGCAAAAATGTATTAGCTCATATGTGAGTTTTAAATTGATTCACTGTCCAGGTAAAATTATTTTAATAAATAATTGCAGTCCAGGCAGGAAAAAATCAGCAAGTGCGAAGGCCCTGAGACAGAGTATCAGTTAAGTTCAACTGACAACAAGAGACCCAAAATAGTGGCTTTAATAAGATATTATAGACGGTTACTTTTCTTTTCACATCAAAATCTGAAGGTAGAGTGCAAAGCTGGCATGGTGCTCTGATTCACAAAGTCCTCAAGGACCTTGGTTTCTACCAGCTTAAGGTTCTGACATCTCTAGGATGAGAGAACTTGAATATGGCCCAAACTGGTGGCTAGAGTTTCAAACCATCATATCTGCATTCCAGGGTACAGAATATATAGGAAGACTAAAAACAGCAAAGGACCAAACATGTGTACTGACTGTCTTTTAAGGAAAGTTCTGGAAGGGTGCCACATGATATATCTGCCAGCACTATTACATGGCTACAGGAAGGCTGGAAAATATAGTCTTTATTTTGGGCAGCCATGTGTCCATGTTTATTTACTAAGAAAAAACGGAGGAATTTTTTGAAAAAAGTAACAGTCTCTGCTACAGACTAAAAAGAGTTTGGTACATGACAGAAACAGAAAGGAGGCAATGAGAAGGGTGAGAACAAGATGAAATTGGAGAGAGAGGCAGGAGCCAGATTATCCAGTCCTGAAGGCCATGGTAAGGAACTTGGATTTCATTGTGTCTGCACAGGAAAGCTATTGGAGGGTTTAGGTGGCACCACCTAATGAAGATTTTAGAATGATTTAAAATGATTGCTCTGGCTGGTATATAGAGAATGGTTTGAATGGGAAAATGTTCATGAGTGTGCAGGGAAAAGTCAAAGTAGATATTGTGGATATTGCTGTGGTTCAGCAAGAGATGACGGTGGCTCAGACCGTCATTGGTAGCATTGGAAGTGATGAGAAGTAGCTGAATTCAGAATATATTTGTAAGGAAGAATTGATGGTACTGGCTGATTATCTGGATGTAAAGTGTGAGGAATCATAGAAGACTCCTAGTTTTACGCCTGAGCAAGTAAGTGAATGAAAGTACTATTTATGGAAATCAGGAAGACTAGAAGAGGGGCAGGTTTAGGTAATGAATAGGGGGATTCAAACATTATTTCATACATGTCATATTAGAGATACCTGTCTTTTTTATCCGTTGCCACGCAAAATTTTCAGCATTGTCTATACTTTTCTAAAAATGGAAGCCCCCCCTTCTATAAGTTATATACAAACTCATTCTTTCCTTAGTAAAGTATTTTTTTCTCAATCCAAGTCTGTAATTTTTCTATAAGATGTACAGGGAACTTACCTTAATACATATTTTGAAAACACACAAAACACATACCTATTAGTATGGACTGTTTTTCCAAGTAAGAGTAAGAAAATCTATCAAAGTGGATAGTTAAAAAAAACAAAATCCAAACCAGCACCCAGATCATATAAAAAAAAAAAATCAAACTACCAAAGGAGCAAATCTGATCAACATTAGCAATAAAGATGAACCTTTTGATGCAATAGGCCAATTTAAAAAATGTACCATTTATTGAATGCTCACTACAGAGTCACAAATATAAGTCCTTAACAAATGCTAGTTCATTTAATATCCAGAACACTAAGGTAGGTATTAAATTTTAGAAATTTATAATAGATTTGGCACAATAGGAAATTAACTTGTTCTTGAACAAGGCTTAAAGTGAATTCATCCTAAATAGTGCTTAGCAATAGTGAAAGTATTATCAAAATAGTGAAATACCATTATCAGATAGTATCAGTGTATTTTTTCCTAACACACCTACTCTACACATTATGAAAATGTTTCCCTCTTCCAGTAAAATACCCAAGGTAATAAAACTCTCAAATCAGACTGTTCCCTTTGGAAGTGATTTTTCCAACTTAACCAGTGTTATTCTATTTAAAATGTGCTTTTTTGAGTAAATGTAAGGATGGTGAGAATGAGGTCCATGTTTTGGCCTTAACAAAGTCTTATATATAAACTACTAGATTAGAATGGTAAAGTCTTAATAATACTTGATGTCAGTATATACATATATCCTATTTTTATCACTCCATTTTGTGGCCCCAAACTATTAATAAACTTTCAAATTATTAACAGCTAGATTAAGGTGCTCAGTAATGCATATGTATTACATATACCCAGAGGCATATCCAGTCTTTTTTTTTTTTCTTTTTTTGTTTTTTTTGAGACAGAGTCTCACTGCGTTGCCCGGGCTAGAGTGCCGTGGCGTCATCCTAGCTCACAGCAACCTCAAACTCCTGGGCTCAAGCGATCCTCCTGCCTCAGCCTCCTGAGTAGCTGGGACTACAGGCATGCGCCACCATGCCTGGCTAATTTTTTCTATATATATTTTTAGTTGTCCGATTAATTTCTTTCTATTTTTAGTAGAGACGGGGTCTTGCTCTTGCTCAGGCTGGTTTCGAACTCCTGAGCTCAAACAATCCGCCTGTCTCGGCCTCCCAGAGAGCTAGGATTACAGGCGTGAGCCACCGCGCCCGGCCCACATCCAATCTTTTAAAACACCAATTTATGGCTGTAGATGTTAACATGAGAAAGCAGAAGAGGCAGGAAGGAACTGTTTATGAAATGGGAGGAGAAAGGGAGAGAAGGACATAAAGATATACGTTGTTCTTTCTTGAATTTTCCTGAAGTAAAAAAACACAGTGAAGAAGAATGTTTGATGAAATGAATAACCAGGCAGAACATTTTCTACTAGCTACACCAGCATCATCCAGAGTTTAAATAAATTCACACAATATGTGCTGATATATCAAAATACACTTTACATTAAAAACCACGAGTTACCTTTTGTTTTATAATACGCTATTTTCTTGCTATTTCTTGCTTTTGGCCTTCAATGATAAATTTAAATTGGATTATAGTGATTTCTTTGGGAAGGAAAAGGTGATTTTATGGAAGAAACAACCAAAGTAAGTAGAAATTTTATTTAATTCAAATTTTACTTTACATTAATACATGCTATCACTCAAATAGGAATAACAATTTTCATATTATGAAACGACACAATTCCAAAACATACATGCAGAGGCTCTTTTTTCTTTAAAGTTCAAGATGTCAAGTAATTACAAAACAAGTGAAAAGTTTATAGATATGCAAAGGAACAGGAGGAATTACTGCAAAGGAAACAAGTTTAATTTTAGTTTGAAGGACAACTATTTTTCTAGAAAGCGGAGACATCATTCCTTTGTTTCCTCCAAAGCCACCATAATTTCAAAAGGTCTCGCAGATGGCCAAGTTGATCACTCAAGTTTACATGATGACTGGGGAGCGGGAGCTAGAGAAAGTGCTATAAACCTAATTGGCTAGAGCAAGTTCAAACAACAGTACTTTAAAAACCATTATTTACGTCCATCAGGTTAAAAAAAAAAAAAGAAAAGGAAGAAGGGGGATTAGTAGAAAACACCAATGGTTTCAGTTAGAGGGGAACTCACTTCTCAGGAGGTGAAGGTGACGTGCTGCCGGTCCCTGGAAGTGCGCACACAAGCACTGGAGTCTGCGGGGGCTGAGGGAGGAAAGGGGACAGTGGTCACATTTGCTCCAGGTGGTAGGAGTGAGAAGGGGAGGAGTGAGGAGGAGGACGTGCGGGGGAGCGGTGTCCAACACAAACACAAACACACACGCTCAGCGTCCCGGTGAGAGCAGACCGACGCCACCTCACCAATCCTCGCTCCTAGACCCCGCGGGCCCCCCAGCCCCCACCCCGGACCCAGGGCCCGACCCTGTGCGAAGCAACTGGCCCCAGTGAAATGGAACCGGCTGCAGAGGCCCCGTTCGCTGTAACGGCGGCGGAGCACCGAGCTTCCTTTTAAGTCCGTAAGAGACACGTGGAGCCGCGGAGACGGAGGTGGGGGAGTGAAGTGCCTGTCCCCACCCATCTTGCAAGCAAGCCAAAAGCTGCCTGCCCACCCCCAACCCTGTCCGCTCGGCAATCGCCGCTCCCACCTTCCGCCGCCGCCTTGAGGGAAGCCGGAGCGACGGGGGTCACGGCGAGGGTCAGAGGGTAAAGGTCTTGCTCCCAGCAGCCTCCGCGGTGGATACGTCGCCATCTTGGATCCGCGGGACAAGAAAATTCATGCGGTGAGTTTTTGGCAAATTTTCGGAAGTCTAGCAGCGGGGCGCGCGGCAGGGGCGGCGGATTTGGGGTCCCCGCAAGGCGGGGGAATGCCCTGGGGCCGGTCCGGTGGCTCCCGGGGTCCCCGGGTAGCGTCCCGGCCCGCCGCTTCCCGTTGCTTTTGTCTCGGCTCCAATCGAGAGAGGGAGAGCGGAGCGGGCGGGGAGGGGGGTGGCGGTGGTGGAGGGAGGGAGGGAGGGGGTGTGTATGGGGGTGGTTGTGGTGGACGGGACGTAAAGCGTCGCTGTACTCGGGCCGCTGCAGCGGCAGCTCTAGATCGTAGGCCCGGTCCCATTTGCGGGCGGCAGAGCTTCCCCCAGACTCCGCTTCCCCAGGCTCCCGCCAGCGCGGAGGAGCCGCTGCCGCCGCGCTGCTTCCTGGGGAAGAAGAGAAGGCGGCAGTGGCGGTGGCCGAGGAGCCCAGGCCCGCTTTAGACGGCTCTGCCGGCTTCCCAGTAGCTGCCGCCGTCTCTGGCTTTTCACATTCTCAGTACACGCACATCATCCGCCACTTGTATGTTTCCGTTTGTGTGTGTGTTAAGTGTAATACGGGGGATACTGGACTGGCTAACGGGCCCCAGGAGCCTCCAGGCCCCGGGATACCGAACGAAGGCTATGCACGGTGGAGGGAGAAGGAGTGCAACTATGATGCTTCCTCTACTACCGCACCCGGAGGGTGAAGCTTCCGTATTGTCGCAGACTTGAGTCCGGATGGTCCTGGGGCGGCGGAGGAACCCGAGACGCTTCTGTTTGTGAAGTTGCAAACCCTAGGTTTCCACTTCCGCTGGGGCCTCTTCACCTTTTGCTGTCTTAGGTCTCACTTAAAAGTTTCCCAGAAGAAATGAGTCGAATTAAGAGACCCCCATAGTTCTTAAATTGAGGTACTGTTGTCCGTCCAGGAAAAATCCTCTAACTCTTGATAACTGTTTAGGTCCTTAGCGAAAGGGGATTGTAGTTTCTTTTATAAAAGTATTTCCAAGGTTTTAGAATTACCATTTATTCCAGGCCCTGTGGGTACGCTCTTAACTACCACCAAAGTCTTACATACGGGTACCACCCTCTCGGAAGGAACCTAGACATCGACTTCCTTCGAATCCTAGGAGGCATCTTCACTTTTCATAATCCAGAGACTAAGTGTAACATATTTTGTTTAGTTTTTATAAAACTCTTGGTCAAAATACCCTACTCCTTTTTAAATAGGACAGTTCCTAGTAATTAAGCACACTGATGGTGAAAAGTACTTAGTTAACAAAATCTGTTCACGAGGGAGACCATACTTGAATTTAATGCTCAAAGTTGAACACATTTGCTGCCATGCTTGATATTAGGAATTTTTGGAGCTCGGGAATGATAAGTGTAACTCTTGATTGGCCTTTGGATGCAACATAAGTGGAGATAATAAAGTATGGGGTGTTGGAGTGGGGTAGAAATTTGAAAGTATCTACTACTTACCAGGTTTATGTTGAGTTTGGGAATACTTGGTATATTTGACAACAGTTCTTTCCCAAACGTCAATGAATACATCTCTTTTGCAATTTAGGAAGGTAACTTTATCCCAGATTGAAAGGGTTAAGAATTACCTTGGTCTGAAATGGTAAAATGTCTACATTCAAATGGTTAGTGTTTACCCTTTCGTTGAAATGTTTCTTAATAGACCAAATTCATTAATTAGTAAGCTCTGTATGTTGAACTTCTGTTTAGTTTGTAGTTTCTTTGTAATATTAAATATGAAGGAAAAGAAATACAATATACACAGAGACAGAAAGAACATCATCCACTCCATCCACTTTCTTGATTTTGTAAGATTCTCATTTAATTTTAAACAAGCACTTTTTTCCCCATTTTTTCTGAGGGCTTGAATTGTGATTTCTGTGAATACTTCATATTTTATGCAGGAAATGAGAAAATATTTTACTGTTTTTGCATCCTAATTAGGGCTTCATCAATACAAATAATGTGAACATAATTCGTTGGCAGGATCTTTTTGTTCTAAGAATATAATATAGAGATACCTGTGACATAATCTTATCTCGGGGAATGAGAATCGCTTGTTTAACCAAGCAACAAAATACAGCCTTTAAACACTTTCAGTTTCTATGATACATTAGTTTAAAGTAAATTTGGTGTGGTGGAAGAATGAGGGCAAAATGCATGTGTGTGGGTGATTTATAAAACCTTCCTTTGAGAAGTCCCTGATCTTGAAAATAAAATAAAACTCAGAATGATGTACTTCCCTGAAAGAGCTAATTGCCTTCGTTTTTACTGCATAACTTTGGATGTTTAATTTACTTTCTGATTTTTCAAAGATGCTTTACAATTAGTTATAACCTGAAAATTCTCTTTGTTCAAAAGTAAATAAATACTTGAGATTTGTGAGTTTCCGACTCAATTCTGTTTTTTATTTATTTAGTAGACATTGGTATTAAAAGTACTTGTATTTTGAAGACCAATACAGAATTTTCACAATCTGTAAGAAGCTAAAGTTTTATCTCTTTTAGTAAAATCAAATTTGCTTCATAAGATTTTCTGATAATACAGAGAAATAAAATCTATGCTTCACATACATATGAAACAATAAATAGACATTATTAGTAAAAAGAACTTAGTTTATAATTTTTTTGCTCTTTAAAAGCTATGTAAAATGATAACAGTATTTTTTAATTGTCTTAAAAATTTTTTTAACTGTAGAAAATTCATTCTGTTAGGATCACATACTTAAAAGCAAACTCTAAAGATCCCATGTGCTTGCTTGAACAGGCATTTGAGGACAATTTAAGCAAATATTGATACAGTTTTAGGAAAAGATACTACTAAATATTTATGATTTTATTTGTTACTTGGATCTGTAGTGGATTTTGTAACACAAAGAAGCAAAAGATCTGGGTACCAGGTAGGGCAATTTTAGAGGCAGAGTTAAGCAGAGTTGTACTGTAATGTTTGAATGGAATTACATTATTGATCAAGGGATCTAATGCTATGATAGGAGCCATTCTGGTTGATGATACAGGTGACCATTCTTCCTTATTAAGGATGATTTCTACCTGTGATACTTAAAGTATTGAATTTCATTGTGACTTACACTAGATAATTTGAAAAGAGCTGTACTGAAATTGATGTCTTGCAGAAAGTTTGCCTTTGAAAAGAAATAGAATGAAAATTAGGGTTTTAAGTTTTTAAAATTATTTTATAATTTTTACCTTGGTTCTGTTTACTGAACCCTTCTTCAGTTTAATATATATATTTTTTTTATTTCTTTAATTTTTCTGTTTGGCATCCTTTCATTTCTATTTTAAAATTCAACTGATGACAAATCGTGCTGATATAGTTTATTCATTTATTTACCTTGTTTATGCTATTAGGGATGACCTGGAAATAGAGTTCTTACTGTGTTTTCTGACAGCTTGTTCTCTGAAACCAGACTTAAATGTCTTGGTATATCACTTGGGGTGTGCTGCATTAGGAAGTAATAAAATGGTTTACAATGTTTATTTCTTGGCAAGAGCTCATGGCTTATATAACATGGAAATGCAACGAAGTGAAGTATCTAGAAAAAATGGAAATTTTTCCTTTTCTGGACACTTTAATATTGTAGATAACTTAGACTCGTGATCTAAGTCCATTGAGATATAGTTGGAGATTTTGTGCATATTTGCCACTTATCCTGAAAATTTACCTTTTCTTCTTGTATGTTGTGTTTGTTGGTGGGGGGCTGGGTAGGGAAGTGTATTTTAACTATCACTTTTCTGTTGCTCAATAAACTTCTTATTCTTAAAAACTCTTCTCTGGTGTTACTTTCTTCATGAAACTTTTCCTAACTCCCCAAATCCTTCCACTCTATTGCTTTTTATTCTTCAAACTTCTATTATTGAATATGTCACACTGTATTGTAATTTATTGTCCATCCCTCTGTTCCACCATAACCTCCACTGGACTGTGACTACCTGAGAGGTAGGGCTCTGTCTTGTTTATATTTACATTTCTAGTGCCTTCTATAGTGCGTAATACTTAATAGATTGTCAATAAATATGTATTAAACTGAACTGTTGCCAGATTGTCATTTGACTCTTAATGCTGTCAGAGTGCTCTGTTTCCCAATTCACAGATGAGAAATAACAAATTGGAAAAGGTGGGGAGAAGGGCATCCTGTATTTTTTCATTTCCCTTAATCCTTTCTTATAGTTTTGCTTCCTAATTACCTGTGGGAAAAGGTAACTAGCTTCTTACAGAACTGTGTGTAGCATTAGTATGGAATTTAGGAGAAAATGTTAATAATAGAGTGATTAATACCCTGTTTTGCTTCTGGCAGAAAATTTAGGCCTGTATTTCTTGCTGTGTTTTGCATGGCTATGGTCATTAGTTGAAGGAGATATTTTGTATTTGTATTTACAAGGTAATGTTCATTTACCACTACTTAACCATGAGCTCCTTTTAGATTTGTGCTTTTTGAAGTTAAATTCTGTGTTGTTGTTTCCCTCTCCCCCTTTTCCTCCTCGTATCTGGCCCAAAAGTTAGTGTAAAGTAAGAGTTCTGTAGTTTGGATACCATTGTTGCTATGGAAATTAGACATAATTTAATATTATCTTTATTGGAAGTCCGAAATCCAAAAAGCTCTGAAAATTGATTATTTTTAAACAGTTGAGGTGGAAAATGCCAGCTCCAGTTATCCGTCTTAACCTAAACATTGCTGTTACTCTCCCTCCTAACCTAATTTTCCAACATTTTGATACAGAAATGTTAATGAGTTTCATAACAGGTTCTGCCAAGACCACTCTGGTGGGCGTTATGTCATATGTGATATATACACTATTTTACCTTTCTGAAATCTGAAAAATTATAATTCTGGGAAACATCTGCTCCTTAAAGTTTTGGCAGAGAGATTGTGATCCATTTTATACCCATTTTAGAGATACAGAAATCAAAACAGGGTACATGAGTC